GGCAGCGCCTGGTGGGAGGGGCACAGGGACCCAGGTGCCTTTGGGTGACAACGCTGCTCCCTGAGCACACTGTGCGCCTGTGGGACTCTGAGACGTGGAAGTACCCGTCACTTCAGGGAGGTTCTGGAGAGAGGTGCTGGGCTGGAGCCTGGACCTCAGAGGCAGGGCCAGGCAGGAGGGCGCGTGAGGAGGGCTCCGCCTGGCCAAAGCCACAGGCACCCAGCAGCCTCGGGAGGAGGCAGCCGCTCCTTCTCTTGGCGTGAAGAGCTCCCTGGTGTCCGGGGGGCTTGTCACTGGTTGGGAAGGTGGCCCTCTGGGCCTTGGGGACTTTGCTCATCTCAGCTCAGAGACAAGCACCTCCTGCCGGGGATGGGGACGGGGGACCACCGGCAGCGGTGACTCAAAGGCTAGGATTTGTTGAGCCTTGTGCTGACTCGGGGGACCCAGCGAGAGTTGGAGGAGAAAGAGGCCCCCAGGGCTGGGTTCCCAGGGCTGGACGAGCCCGCGCCCACCATGCCGTCCCCTGGGCCCACTCGCTCCTGGGGGGCAGCCTGGGGCCGGGCTGGAGGCTGGAGGGACCTTCTCAGAGACCATCAGATCCTGACTTTTGGTTGGGGACTATGCTCAGACCGGATCAGTTTGAGTTTGGAGCTCCCCTCTGCACACCCCAAAGCCTTGGTCCAACTCAGTACTTGGTTCATTAATGAATTTCAGGACAAACCCGGGTGGGTGCCGGTGCGGCCGTGGCTGGCTTCCTCCTCCTCCTCCTCCTCCTCCTCCTCTTCCTCTTCCTCCTCCTCCTCCTCCTCTTCCTCTTCCTCCTCCTCCTCCTCCTCTCACTAGGTTGCCGAGGCTGGCCTTGAACCTGTGATCCTTCTGCGCAGCCCCCGAGTCCCTGGGATTGCAAGTGTGCGCCCCCAGCCCGGCCTCCTCCTTCTCGACCTCACCCTTAACCTTCCGTCTTCCTCCTTCTCTGCGCAAGGGTTCATTCCCCCCTGTGCCCGGGGATCTGATTAATGGATCCTTGTGCTTCTCGCTCTGGCTGCCAGCAAGCTCAAGTCCAGCCCGCAATGCTCCAGCCGCTGCACCAATACGGAGGAACCCGTAGAAACCCTATTATTTAGTTTTCCGCCCTGGCCTGCCCTTAGTCCACTCCGCGTCCACTTGTCCACTCGTGCTATCTGGTTACATGCATTTGGAACCTGCCACAAGCCTTTTTGTGTGCGCTGGAACAAGGCAGGTCTGCAGAACCAGATCAACAAAATCAGTGCAGCAGGTATCTGTGGATTGATCCAGGGACGAGCTCATTCGGTGTGGTACTGACTGGCACTGGAGGGGCGTCGGCTGCTGGGGAGTTTGGGGATCAGTCCTCTTGCGAAGGGGAACAGTTGGCCCTTTGTTTTTCTGCTGCGAGTCTGGATTTTGCTCGGGTACTCAGCAAATTAGCCCGATGTGGCCCGAGGACAGGCGTGAGAAGAGCCCCAGGCGCGGGCGGGCCTAATACATTATGGATCCGGGCCAGGCGGGGCCGGGGGTTGGCTGTGGAGCAAGTGGGGAAGGAGCCCGGTGGCCCAGGAGGTCCCCCGCTCTCCTAATTAGCCCAGAAGGTCTTGCAGAGGCCGAGGCTTGGGTTCTGGCTGGGGCTGACACAGCAGAGGTCCTTGGGGACTGAGCCCGTGGCCTAGCTGTCAATCAGCGGGATGTGAAGAGGGTCCACCGCTTGACGCCCCTGTGTGGAGGGACGGCCTCCTCCTGCCCAGGTGTCTCCATAATGACCTCTCAGTTGTTTCAGGCTGGTGACCTCTCCTGCTCACCACGCCTGGTTGGCTCTGGGTGGACCCCGGTGCCAGGCACCTGGGCCTTTGGCATTGGGCAGGGGACACTCCAGCATGGCGTGGACATGGACCCAGCACTGGACCCTGGCTCTGCCGTGTGCCATTCCTGTGCTCTGGGCAAGCTCTGTGCCCTGTGCCCCATTTCCTCTCGGGAAGGCAGTGACGAAGGACATGCGACCTTGCTGGATTGTTCTGAGTCCTGGCGAGTTAACGCTGGCAGCGTGGAGAAGAGCGCTAAGCATTTCCTGTGGTCCCTAGCCCTCCCAAATGTGTCCCCTCCTGGTCCCTTCACCTGGCAGTACCTGGGCAGGAAAGATGCCCTCAGAGCCTCCTGGGGAGGCAGAGTGGCTTGGTGGTGAGGCCCGGGCTCCTCACCTGCCTGGGCCTCCATTTCTCGGCCTGAAACACGGGGCCCGTGGCCACCCCGGGCAGCAGGAGTTTTGTGAGGTTGGAATTTGCGAAGCCCTGGCACACGCTGGGCACAGGGCGACCCCTCGATAACTGATGGCCTCTGCTGCCAGGGGCCCTGCAGAGTGGGGACCCTCTTTCCCCTACTCCCCGGTGCTGAGCTCTGACCTGCCGTCCCCACTGCTGGGGAAGCCGCTGATGAGCTCACGGGCACACCTGCCACCCTCCCCAGTGTCCCTTGGCGCCGTCTTCCGGCCTGTCCGTTTCTGCTGTGGTCATTGGTTTAGGCGTCCGTCCCTTTGGCCGGATGGAGACCCTGAGACTTGAGGTGTGTTCACCGAGGGTGGGGCCAGCTGCCGAGAGCCAGTCTTCCTAGGTCATTATCGGTCTCACCGTTAAGTGACCGTGTGTCCTTATGCCTCGTGCATGTTATCACCTTCAGTCTTCACTCCGCAATGACAAAAGCGAGGCCAGAGAGGTGAAGTGACTTGCCCAAGGTCACACAGCTTGAAAATGGTGGGATCCAAAGACGATGGTCTGAGCCTATGCTCCATCCACGGTGCCCTTCTGTCCAGGGCCTGCCGAGGGGCGGGGCACCCAGCAGGGTGTGGCAGTGACGAAGGTGCTGAGTGCATGGACTTAGCGTGTTGGACACGGAGACTCCAAAGAGGAACAGGGCATGGAGCATCGGCCTCACGGTCCAGTGGCCTTGAATGTGCTGGCCGTTCAGATGCTCCCAGAATCCCGGGGGCATTTGGTTCTGAAGGTCGCCGAGGCACCTGTTTGGTTGCTGGCACCAAAGCTCTCCGACAGCAGAACTTCCCGCCTAGGGCGGGATGGGGGGACTGGGGGGACTCGGCAGGGAGCAGGTCACCTCCTGCTTCACAAGAGAGGAAGGCTCGGCCTCGGTGGGCCCCAGGGCTGCCCCCTCATGGTCCCGAGATCAAGGTCAAAGGATGGCAGAAGCCACCTCTGCCCAGAGTCAGCGACCGTGTCACCTGCAGACTTCTGAGGAAGTACACAGGACACCTGCCTCCCGGGGCTTCAGCCACTGGCCGCTGGGCCTTCTGAGTCTGGCCGCCGAGAGCATCACCGCCAGATGTAGAAGCTGAGCCCCGGGGAGACAGCGGGACTCTGGCACAGGAGACCCGGGGGACACTCGTGCCTGTCCTGGGCCCAGTGGAGACTCTGTGGACTGGACACTCTCCTGATGTGCGCCGTTCCCTGGTGTGTAAGAGGCCCTGGGGAGGCGGGGGGAGCCGAGGGCCTGTGTGCCCCCACAGCCCCTCCGCTGGACACCAGAGAAGGGCCCTCGGTGATCCTCTGACAAGCACCTGGGACAGACAGAGGACCAAGTGAGGCCTGTAGAGGGGCCGGGCAGGGCTGGGCAGGAGGGCCCTAGCCACGGGGGTCACAGGCAGCCTGGGGTCACGGGAGCTCAGAGGAGACGAGAGGGTTTAGGTGGGAGGACGAGGTCAAAAGTCAGGTCAGGAGGAACGCCAGGCGCAGCGGACATGTAGGATTCAGAGGTCAGGCAAGGCGTCCAGAGGACAGCTTCAGGCTGGACACGGGTAAAGGTGGTGGCTCTCAAAGTCAGGACCCCAGCCAACAGCGTCAGCATCAGCTGGGACTCGCCAGGGCCCCCTGCACCTGCTGAAGGGGGGGTTCAGCCACCTGCTTCGTGATCCCCTCCAGGGGAGTCTCCAGCTTGGGCAGGCTCCTCCCTCGGTAGGTGCCAGGTGCCCCTTGGCCAGGTGCCTGGCCTCTGCTGGGGACACAGAAGAGGGAGATCTCGGGGTCACAGCAGGGTGGTGGTGGAGAGTTGGTGGGACCAGGCCGCATCCTTCTGCTGTGTCCTGCTCTGGGGGGAGTGGAGCCCGGAGTCTCGGACAGACCTCGAGGCGGGGTGCCCCCCAGCTTTCTAAGGAGCCACTGGGGAAAAGTGCCGCCCGCCTGTGTGCAGAGCCCCCGGACGCCCTGCTGCGGCTTGAGGCAGCTCCTGACTGGGATCCGTTTCCCTTCCCCGGCTGCTGGCTCGGCCAGCGGAGAGGCCCTGCTGACTCCAGCCTGGGCCCAGCTGCGACCCTCTGGTGCAGGTGCGGACTCTCAGAGCAGCAGCCACCTGGGTGGGCGCCCAGGCTGCCCGCGGAGAGCGGAGGCTGAAAGGGGCGTCCTTCCAGCGCCGGGTCCTGCTCTGCCCACTCTGCCGTCCCAGAATGCCCGCGTCGCGCGCGGCCCCGGGCTCCCCCGGGAGCTCATTTAGCAGCGACTTGCTGGGAACGGAGTCGGCTCCTCATCGCCGGCTGCTCGGATGCCCTCCTCCCCGGGTGGGGTGGTCCCATCGGAGGGCTGGGGAAGCGGCTTCATTTAGGCGGCCAACAGCTCCCATTAGTCCCCGCTCTCGGCCTTCATTTATATTGCATGAGCCGCGGAGCTGAGGCCCACCTCTGGTTGCCGGGGGGCCCCCTGCTCCTTCCCCTCCACCCTCCATCTTTATCCTTCCCGGGGAGCATCTGTGTTCACTCCGGTCCTGGCTCCCCACATCCTGCTCCTGCCTCTTCATTACCATGGCGACTGCATCAGGACCAACCCCAGTGACTGTTGTGATGGCTCCTGTGTGGACTCCCTGCGCCTGGTCCCCAAGGCTGAATTGTCCATTAGGCACGGTAGGCACAGTGCCAGGGGCCCATGAGGATAGTTTAGTTTCTTTTAAAATTAGAAGGAAAAAAAAAACCCTTTTAAGTAGAAGATAATACATAACATTAATATATTCGCCTTTATTTGTCATGAAGAAGGGGCCCAGGAAGGGAGAGGCCAAGACTCTCGGGAGTCATCACATGGTCCTGCCCCGCCACCGTCCAGGCCTTAAAAGACAAGCCTGGCCGTATCCTTTGCTGCTTCCAGTGTGGTGAGCAGGAGGGTCCAGGTAACCCGCGGTGGCCCCTGGGCTGGCTGGACCTAGACCCTGGAGGGCAGGAGTGCGGCTCGCAGCTCAGCTGCCCTGGTCCAGGGACTTTGTCTCTGCTTGAGGGGCTGCAGTGAGGCTGGGTGCCCAGGTCTCCAGGCGTTCCTGAGCTGCTGTCCCTCGTATCTGGTCCATCAGGGCCCAGTGGTCTGTTGTCACCCCACGGATGTGGCTGCTCTTTAAGAAGGGAGAGTGACAAGAGGGACGGTCCCTCTGTGGGAATGGCAGATACCTGAATCGTCTCAGTGGGGTGGGACTTTTTCTTAACCTTGACGTGCAGGAAGTGGAGGCCACAGGGTCCCACGGGAAGGACGCTGTCAACCCAGAGTTCCCGGTGCCCGCAGGGTGAAGTCTGAGACCCTCAGCCTGGCTCACCGGTCCCCCCAGGAGCCAGCCCACTCTCTCACCCGCTCCCGGCTGCTCATCAACTCTGAGCGAGCAACGTCACCACTGTGTAGGTTCCGAGGACCTTGGGCTGCTCTCCTGCTCTCCCTTGCTCTAGTTGAACGCTGCAGACTGGGCCGTTTACAAGGGAAAAAGATGTTGTATTCACAGATCTGGGAGAAGGGGATTCAAGGTCAAATGGTCACAAGGCCACATTCCAACATATTTTGGCGACATTCAAACCACTGGCACTGAGCTTTTTAAACCCTCCTAGCCCTGGACGGTCCTCTTTGCACCCTTCCCTGGTCCACAAAGGAGAACTTCTATTCATCCATCAAAACCCCATCAAAGAGTGGCTCCCAGGACCCTCCCCGTCCTGATTCCCAGATACAGAGGAGAAGGTGTTAAGAAAAAAAGAGAAAGATTTGTTTTAGCTTTTTCTTCTTCTCCCCACCTGTAGGAAGCAGAGGCCAGCGCTACGTCTTCTTATTGGATGGGCAGGTGGAAGGGGGGGAGGGAGGAGGAAGAAAGTCCCGTCTGCTCCCCACTTCAAGTTCATGAAAGCTGACGTCTGCTCCACTGGACTCACTGTCTTTGGTAAAAGAAGAAAATCTTAAAATGACTTCTGGTCTCAGCATTTCGACAAACAAAGCAAGAAAGGAATAATGATGAGGTTCCTCGTTCCCTTCCTTATTACCACGCTCCTTCCCCGTTCCTCAGAGGCGATCGTGACCATGAATTTTTTAAATCCTTCCTGCTCATGTTTTTCTATTTTTCTTTTGTTTTTCTAGATGTGTTTGTACATATGAACAATATACAGTGGCTTTTGTGTGTTTAAAGGCATCTTGCAGGAATGAGAAGCTGAATTTAGCCATCTCTAGTGTGAAATCTTCACCTGGTACCTTGTGAGTCCATGTGGGCTGATATTCACATGTCTGGAGATTCTAGCTAGCCATCTAAAGCTGGGAAAAAATCAGATAAAGGGTTCCATTTTCACAGCTGTGTAATATTCCACCAGACTGGCATGGCACGTTAGAACAACAGTCCCCTCAGGGAAGAATGTTCTGGTTTTCTTCTTTTCAGTCCCAATCAATGTCTTGCATGGGTTTTCTAGGTCTCTACCTAACAGTGAAAGTGCTAGAACAGGTGCCTACTTATCTTTAATGCATACCACCAAATTGTGTTCTAGAGTGATCATCCCAACCACAATTCTAGTAGCATGAAAGATCCCGGCTGGAGGGCATTGGGGCACTGAATTTTTGGGGGGCCAATATGATCTGTATGAAATGGAATTAAGTTTAAAAAAAACATTGTTTTCCAGCTTCTTAGTGAAGTTTCATTTTTAACATGTATTTGTTGATCATTTTCATTGTCTAATTGTGGTACTTTCTTTTATTTGATTTTTAAAAAATTAAAATTAGGGGCTGGGGCTGTGGCTCAGCAGTCGAGTACTCGCCTAGCACGTGTGAGGCCCTGGGTTCGATCCTCAGCACCACACAAAAATAAACAAAATAAAGGTATTGTGTACAACTAAGAAATAAATATTTTTTAAAAAATTAAAATTATTTTTATTTTCTGGCAGTGCTGGGGACGGAAACTGGAGCCTTATACATGCAAGTGCTTGACCCCTGGGCTGCACACCAGTTCCTTCTTCCAGATGAGGGTGTCTTTCCCTTTTGAGTTTATGAGAGTTCTATAGATACCAAATTCTATTCTCTGACTGCTGCAACGTCTCACGGATGGGTCGTACTTCAACTGTGTCGTGCGACAGTGTTGGCACACAGAACTTCCAGTCCTCCGTGTGGTCGACTTAAGATTTTTTTTTTTCCCATGATAATCTGTATCTTTTGCTATTTGTTTAGGGAAACTTTTCCTGATATTCCACTAAACTTCCTTAGAATAGCTTTAAAGTTTGGTTTTGCTCTATCAGGAATGTCTCTCTAGGTGCGGTGTGAAGTAGGGATCCAGTGAAGACCTCCCCCCTGGGACCAGCCAGCTCTCTGACACCGTTGGAGGCTCCACTTTCTCTTCACAGAGACGCAGCTGCCTTTGACCGCCCCCCCCCCCAAGACCCTCACAAATGCCTGGGTGTCTGGTCTGCTCCACGATCCACGTGTCTCTCTTCATGGTCCTCCCATGATGTGAATCCTTCTCTCTCTTCTCCGGCACCGGGGATCGAATGTGCCATCTTGTGGCTTTGTCGTGGGTCTTTAGAAGTGGTCGAGAGAGTTCTTTCTTGCTGTTCTTTATTTTGGCTCCTCCTGCCCTTACCCACTTCAGATTAACGTTGGAATCAGGTTGTCAGGCTCTGCCAGGAGCTCCGCCGAGGTTTGAATTGCAACTGCAGTGAATTTCTAGATTCATCTGGAGGAGCCCTGAGCCTGTGTAACCCGAGTCTTCCCAAGCGTGGAGCGTGAACGTGCTATATTTCTCCATTTGGAGGGGCGGGTCTTCCACATTCTTAGGTAACTTCATAATTTTCTCCATAAAGGTCTCTCGCATCTTTCATTGGATTTATTCCCAAGTGACTTACAGTTTTTCTTGCTTTTATGACTGGAAACTTTCTTTCAGTTACACTTTCTGATTTGGGGGGACAGAGAAGGACACTGTTGAGTTTTGCCCAGAAACTTTATTCAGTATTTGCTGGTTCTAATTGTAGCTCATCTTGGATTTTCGGCGGAAACAATTATTCCAGCCACCAACAACGATATCTTTTGTTTCTTTTTTGAAAACTCCTTATCTGATTTTTCCCCTGGTTTTAGATTGCTAGCTAGAATCTCTAGAAAAATGCTGCAAAAGCCCATACAGTAGGCATACATATTTCATTTTTGACTTGAATTATATTTTTACCACTGTATTACATACTGCATATGATATTTACCCTTCAGGTTTTTAGTAGATACATTTTACCGAATTAGAGGGATTTCTGTGTGAAGAGATTATTCTTATTCATGGTTACGATTGCATTCCCCTAATGATGAACGAAGCCCAGTATCTTTTTGTGCTTAGCAGTCATACGTCTATGTTTCCCTTTGAAGAAACGTCTGTTTGAGTTTTTGGCCCATTCCAAAAATGTCGGTGTCTTTTTATTGTTGAATAGTAATATTGAGCAGTGAGAGTTTGATGTAGTTCTTTATCAGCTCTATGACTCACAAATATTTTCTCCTATTCTCTGCCTAGTTTTGTCTTTTTTTTTTTTAATGTACAGAAGTTTTAACTTGAATGAAATCCAGTCTACCTATTCTTCCTTGTGCCTTAGATGTGTTACCTAACAAACAAGAGCCTGATCCAAGCTCATGGAGTTTTACATCTGTTTTCCTCTGAGACTTTCATGATTATAGTTTTCACATTTAGGCCTTCAATCAATTTTGAGTTAATTTTGTACATTGTGATAGTTGGATCTGGAATGTCCCCCAAAGGCCTATGTGTTATCGGGGTCCCAAGCCCATGGCCCTGATGGGAAGTGGTGGTGCCTTTAAGGGGTGGGGCCTAGTGGGAGATCTTTAGGTCATTGGGGGCGTGGCCTCTTGCCATGGGGAGAGTGGACCCTGGCCTCTTGCTTTTTCCCTCTCTCACTTCCTGGCTCCACCCTGTGCTCCTGCCGTGACGCGCTGCCTCCCCACTGGCCTGAGTGCAGCAGGGCTAACTGACCCTGGGCGGGAAACTCTATATAAATGGACTGCCTCGTGCTTTACAGGAACAGAAAGGTTCACACGGTTGACTCTGGGTTTGTTCTTTTGCATGTGGACGTCCAGCACCATCTGTTGAAAAAACTACTCTCCTCCATTGAATCGCCTGTCATTCTCATTAAAAAATCAATTGACTAGGTGTCTGTTCCTGGCACCCAGTCTGTCCCCTGGTTCACACCTCAGTGCCTGTGTGAGTGCCATGGGTTCTGGACTGCTGGGCTGGGAGCACGAGTTTATCAGGAATCCACCTTTGTTCTTCTCCGTCAGAATTGTTTTGGCTATTTTTGGATCCCTTGCTTTTCCATATGAATTTTTAAAAAAAATTTGTAGTTGTAGATGGATGAAAGGTATGTCTTTATTTTATTTGTTTAGTTTTATGTGGTGCTGAGGATCGAACCCAGCGCCTCACACATGCTAGGCAAGCGCTCTGCCACTGAGCTACAGCCCCAGCCCCTCCATGTGAATTTTAAAATAGGGTCTTCAGTTTCTAGGAAAAGAGGCAGCTAGAATTTTGATAGAGGCTGCCTGGGCTCTGCAGATCAGTTGAGGATGCTGCTGTCTTAGCCCTAGGAGTCTTGGCATCCATGAACATGGGATGTTTTCCCATTGACTCAGGCCCTCACATTGCAGTGTTTGGTGTACAAGTCTTCCACTTCTTATGTTGAACTTATTCCTACATATTTTATACTTTAAAAAATATTTATTTTTTAGGTGTAGATGGACACAACACTAATACTTTTATTTTTATGGGGTGCTGAGGATCGTACCTGGGTCCCGCCCATGCTAGGCGAGCGCTCTACCGCTGAGCCACAGTCCCAGCCCCAATATTTCATATTCTCTGAGGTGATTGCAAGTGGAATTGTTTTCATGATTTCCCTTGTCTTTGAATTTAAAATGTCTCTGGTAGACAGCATACTGTTGAATGATTTAAATTTTTCATTTTGCCTGTGTCTGCCTTTTGATTGTTTAATCATTCTGCGTTTAACGTAACTTTTGATGAAGTGGGATTCAGATCTTGCATTTTCTACTTGCTTTCCATATGTCTTATGAGTTTTGTTCTTCAGTCTCTCCATGAATACCTTTTTTGGGGGGGGTGCTAGGTAGATATTTCCTAGCGTGACGTTCATTTCTTTGTTCTTGGTATTTTTTAAATTGTTTTATCAGCAGTTGCCCTTGGTATTACAATGAGCATCTGAAATTCAAATACTCGAGTCCAGGTCAATACCCACTTAATTTGGACAGTACACCTACCTTCACTCCCAGTTAGCTCTACTCTCTCCTTTGACAAATGACAACTTTATACATTGAAAGCTCTTTAGCAGCTTGTAGTTACCAATACATGCAGATGATTTTTAAATTGGATAAGCAAGGAAGAGAGTTACCAAAGACTACACTTACACTTTATATATATATATATATATATATATATATATATATATATATATATATATATATTTCTGTTTATTTGTTTCTGGTTTGGGTACCAGGGATTGAACTCAGTAGTGCTTAACCACTGAGCCATATCTCCAGCCCTTTTTACTTTTTATTTTGAAACAGAGTCTTGCTACGTTGCTTAGGCCCTCACTAAGTTGCTGAGGTTGGCTTTGAATTTGTGATCTTGCTGCCTCAGCCTCCAGAGCCACTAGGATTACAGGCATGTGCCACCACACCTGGCCACTTACTCTATCTTGTATATTTGCATGGGCAGTGAATTTTATTAGTCCCCCATTTATTTATGTGGATTTGAGTTACTCTCTGATGTCCTTTCATTTCAGCCATTTCCTTTAGTATTTCTTGACAAATTCTCTGGGTTTTAATCTACCCTAAAAGGTCTTTCTGCTTCCCTCACCCAGGATAGTTGGGCTGGGTATAGAATTCTTGGCTGACACTCATTTTCCATCTGCATTTTGAATAGGCCATGCCCACTGCCCTCTAGCTTGCATGGTTTCTGAAGAGAAATCAGCGGTTTATCATATTGAGGTTCCCGTGAGTGTGACAAGTCACTTCTGTCTTGTGGCTTTTGAGATTTTGTGTTTCTCTTTGGACAGTTTTACCGTGATGTGTCTTGATGTTCATTCTCATTTGAGTCGGTCTTCCTTGAAGTTGCTAAATTTCTTGGATGTGTAGATTATTGTATTTTTTGAAAAAATATCATATTTTGAAAGTTTTCTGCCATTATTTCTTCAGATGCCCTTTCTGTGTCCTTGTGTCTCTTCTCTGAGATGACCACTCTCTGTGTGTTGGTCTCTGAAGCCCTGTTCATCTGTCTTCATTCTTTTTTCTTTTTATTTCACTGAGAGGGTAATCTCAATTGACCCAACTTCAAGTTTTCTGATTCTTTCTTCTACCCATGTGACTCTGCTACTGAATATTTTCAGTAAATTCTTCTTTATACTTTTCAACTTCAGAATCTTTAAAGATAATCTCTCTCTCTCTCTCTCTCTCTCTCTCTCTCTCTCTCTCTCGTATTTTCTCCTTCTTCACACATTGCTCTCATACTTTTCTTTTAATTCTTTAGAACATTTTTTTTATGATTCTGATGAAAGACTTTTTTTCTAGTAAGTCCAATTTCTAATCTAGGGATTCTTCAAGGATAATTTTCATTGATTGCTTATTTCCCTGTGTATGTGGAGCCCCCAGTACTAGGGATGTTTTCCCCCCAGTACTAGGGATTGAACTCAAGGGGGTTCTGCCACTGAGCCGTATCCCTACCCCTTTTATTTATTTATTTATTTTGAGGCCGGGCTTTGCCAAGTTGCCCAGGTTGGTCTAATGCTTGTGCTCCTCCTGGCTCAGCCTCTTCTGTCACAGGGATGTAGCGTGAACCACTGTGCCTGGCTGGCCATGCGTTTTCATTTCTCTGTGTGCCATAAATTATGTTTGTTAAAAACTGAAAATTTTTAACAATGTAAAGTGGATACTCTGGAAATTGGATCCCCCCTCCCTTCAGTGTTTGTTCTAAATGCTGTCTCTCCCATTGCTAGTTTTATGACTTTTCTGAATTATCTAAAGCCTATGTTTCTGTCCCGTGAGGTCACTAAGCTCTCTGCTTGTTTAGCCTAGTGATCAGGTAAGGATTACACAGAGAATTTCTTATTGCCTTGAACCAATAAGTCTTCTACCTTTTCCCAAGGGGCTCTGCGTGACCTGTAATGCATGACTGTTTTGTCCTTCACGTCCAGCTTGGGCAAGGTCTCAGGTCATCCAGAGGTGCATGATTAGACCTTCCCCGATCTTCTCTGTGCACCTGCTAAGTTCTTAGTCATGCTGGAGGCTGCCAAAATCCCATTTGGACATCTCATTTCCCAGATTTTTTCTTTTTTAACTTTTGAACCGTCTCATTTGCTCCAATTGGCCTGTGCAGTATAATCATTGCAATTGTTGTTGTGGTTATCTTTAAAAGATTCTCTTGTACGGGGCTTTTTTTTTTTCCCCCCCAATGAGCAAATGCTGAGTCGGTTCAAATAATAAGTCTTGCAAGTAGGGCCTTTCCTGAGAGCTGCCCGACAGATAACATAGTGATACCTCTCTGGAGATGGGGCTGTTTGAGGTGTTCCCAACCTAATCTGTGACCCCAGGGACTGATAGGCTGCTGGCTTTCTCAGCTCCTGGGTAGACAGCCTGTTGGTTTTCAAAGATAGCACAGAGCTGGAGAGAAAAGAACGAAAACAGGGAAAATTAAAATGCTACGAGGGTCACTGATCTTACCAAGATTCAGCTGTTTTCCTTGAATAAATGATCTTCAGATTGTTACTCGCTCTCAGTTAATTTACAGAATTCAGAAAGAGCTGATTTTGATAGTTTTTGCCAGGGTCCTCATTGCTCTATGGAGGAGTGGTTTATTGAAAATCAGAACAATTTTTTTTTTCGAGTCATGAATGACTTTTGGATTTTCTTTTTCAAATGATTTTTTTTGCCTCTATTGGGATGAGAAAATGATTGTTTTTGCTTAAGCGGTTTCTGTGATAAATGACTTAATAGATTTTCTAATATTGAAGTACCTAGCTGAGTTCCTAGGACAAGTTACCTGACTCCTGTGTGTTTCCAAACAGGGAATATAAGAGTTTATCTTCACTGATTCTAAGTGAGAAAAGAATTTAGAACAGCGCCTGGCACCTAGTACATCCTTGATGAAATCAGTATTGCCTTTCCATTCCCGGGGTAGAAAGCACTCAGTCACGATAAAAATGGTCATTTTAAATATATCGCCACATTCAACTTGCTAGTATTTTTGGAACGTTTGCGTGTTGGGTGGTAAATGGGAGATTCATTTAAAATGCCCGATCTTTTATTGTTCTTGTCCAGTTTTGACAGCAGGGTTATTCTGACCTCAAAAAACAAGTTAGGTGTTAGAAGGATGTCCATTATGGGTACGTTATCGAGGGAAAGGGGACAGACAAGAGGGAAGAGGTGACCAAATAGAGGGACGTCTGGAGAACTCCCCTCGAGGCTGGGAACAGCAAGGGGCCACTGGAGCCTCACATGCTGAGGGCCCGACCCCAGGCTCTTGTGGCCACCCCAGCAAGGTGGGAGGCCTGTTGTCTGCCCGCGTGGAGCATGAGGCTTCCTTGCTCCATCAAGGCCACCGTGCCCAGGTTCGGCAGAAACAGTGCAGCCGCCTGACTTTGAGGATGGTGTGGGCGTGGACGGGAGGCCATCGCTGGTCACTTGCCCTGGTGTTCTGGGGTGTTACGATCCTGGGACCCTTGAGGATAATCGGGGAAGTCTCGGTAACGGTGAAGACTGTACCCCTGCCTGTCCAGCAGGAGAGAAGCCTGGCGACATTTAAGTCTGACGGATAGAGAAAGAGAACAGGTAGCAGGTCCTGCCCCCCAAGATGTGGAGCCGACCTCCCCCCTGCAAGACTCCAGGACTGCCCGGTAGTCCTCTGTACCGGGATCCAATGCCTGAGATAAACACCTTAAAAGGAGGAAGATTTTATTTTGGCTCAAAGGCTGTACATCATGGTGTGGCCCGTGGAGGCGGGAACGGCTCACCTCCTGATACCGGGAAGGGAGAGAGGAAGAGAGCAGGGGCCACATCCCCTTCAAGGGCCGGTGACGTGACCTCCGTCCTCCGGGCTTCCCTTTCCAAGTGCCACCTCCCAGTAGCACTGAGCGGGGGACCAAGTCTGTGATTCCCGGGCCCCTAAGGGGACGTTTCAGATCTGATCTAACAGCTGTGTCTCCGGATCATCTCCTACTGACGTGTCCCCCTTTCTAGGCTGTGAGCTCCCGGCGACCAGCTGTGGGCCATCTCTGCTATCCTGAAGAGCGGCCCCGTCCCCAGCGGACCCTTCACAAGTCCTTGGTGGAACCAAATGGGATACAGATAAAAGTCCCTTCAATGAGTTGAAAGCGCGTTTCTGAGTGAGGCTTTCAAGAGAAGAATCGTTCAGATCTGAAGAAACCAGCCACGCGGGCGACGCTGGACCTGCTGGCTCACAGCCATGCCAGGGAGCCTTCCTGGGCAAGGTGTTTGCAGGGGAAGAAGGACGCACGTGTGGCAGGCCTGGTCCCCACCGCAGCGGTGTTCCGAGGCGGGACTGGGGGACGCGACTGGATTGTGAGGCTCTGACCTCCTCAACCCACGGATAACTGAGCGGACTCTGGGGGGGGGAGCTGTAGGCAGGGGGGGATCGTGGCTGGAGGAAGTAGGTCACTGGCAACGTGCCCTTGGGGGCTGTATCGTGTCCCCAGTCCCTTCCTGTTCCCTCTCTCCTCCCCGATGCCCTGAGCGGAGCGGCTTTCCCCCTCCAGCCCTCCCACCTCGGGCATCCTGCCTCGTCCCCGACCGACTCTGGAACTGAACCCTCCCAAACCAGAGCCCAACAGGCTGGTCCTCCTTTAAGTCGTTTCATCGGGTATTTTTTGTCACGGTGACAAAAGCTGGCTCATGCTCCCTGGGAGGCTGCAAGAACAAGGCTGGCTTCCCAGACTTCCTGGCAGAGGGTTTTCAGATGTGATTTGGGTTCCGCCCGTCAGAGTCTCCTGTGCAAGACTTGGATTGGAACCGCTTTAAAGAGAGAGAGAGAGACAGACAGACAGACAGAGAGAGGCAGGGCACAGGCCCCCCTCCAGTGGCACGGGCTGGGAAGAGACGGTGTGGTGATGGGGCTTCCCGACTCACTGGTTTCCTTGGCAACCGTGGAGGGGAGACGGGGGATGCTGGAGACGGGAGGTCCCCCCTTGGACTCAGCGCGGCGCCCGCTGCTCCTGTCCTCCCGACACTCGGAAGGCTCCGAAGACCTGAGGAAAGCTCCCCCTCCGCCTCAATTGGTGCGAGCGAGGTTTCCGATATCCGCCATGGAATCCTCATAGGTGTAGACTCCAGATCTCAGGGAAATGGAAATCTGGGGTCGGTTATTTGATCTGATTGGACCTGAAGGCGACCGCGATCCCGTTGGCAGGAAGGGAAGGGCCTCGAGTCACTTGTCCATTAAGGGCACATGGTGGCGGGCCAGCGGACTGCTGTGCTGACCCGTTCAAGCAGGAATGGGGAGGACAGGCCTCGCGGGGCACATCAACCACTTCTAACCACACTGCTGAGTTTCAAGGAAAAACCAGGACCCCAGCTTTATAAGAACATCTGTGGCTGCCTCGGACATGACTTCGCATCTGGGTCAGCCACAGGAAGCAAAACTGCAGACGCGCTGCTTCGTAACCCCGAGGTTGCTGAACCCCAATGCAGCTGCGTTCTCACCCCAGTAAGTCTCTTAGAGAGCCAGGCGGTGCGCTAGGAGAGGGGCCCTGAGCCGAAACTGTTTTTTGGCCACTTTTACGGACAGAAGCGATCCCTGGTTACCGAGTCCCCACCCGTGAATCCTGTCTTGTTGGGACATCTTGGAATGACCCTTGCCTCGCAAGGGGATACCGTGCTTCCTCTGGACCATCCCAGCACATGGTGGTGGAAGACAGATTCGAGCATCGTAGGCACCCGAGAATATTCTGTTAATTGACGTTGTCAGAAAATGAGGAAGTGGGGGCATGGGCCCCGAGGGTGTTAGACCAGGGAGGGAGAAGCATGATTTCAAATCACATTTCTAATCAATCCCGAGTTAATTGAAGGGGAAACTCACCACGGTATCGGGATTCGGTGTGCCGACTCAAGCAGCTGGGAGCTCTTACACTTGCTTGGCTCATGGGTGGTCTTCAAAGAGGGCGCCATGACCCCTTCCCTGTGTTCCTGACCTCCTGTAATCGCATCGTGTTGATTGGGGCCGCGCACGACTCACTGTAGCCAACAGGATGCAGCAGAAACGGAGACCAGGACATTCTGCTTTGTGCTCTTGGGAACCCTGGGCAGCCATGTAAGGACTCCCAACTATCCCCTGGGGACAGAGGTCACATGGAGGAGCCTGGAGGGCAGACGTGTGAGGGAAGGGGTCGCAGCCCAGGGTGGGGTCTCTGCCCAGGACTGAACGTTGTTTGGTGGACCACGGAGGCTTCCCTCGTGGGAACTCGGGTCGGAGGTCTGGGTTTGCTTTGATGAGAGGAGATGGCAAAAGTAGCTCTGCTCAGAGACCCAGAGGGAAGCCTGGATTCTGGTGGCCCGGAGGAGGCATCCACAGCTCCGTGTGCCCAGCAGAGACCACAGGCCCGAGTCTCAGAGCCCTGGCCCGCAGGGGGCAGTTCCTCCTCGTCCCCTCCTGATTGAGCTTTGAGCGTTGCTCCCAGGGACCTGGCCCGTGGAGAGGAGCTTTGGAGACCAAGGCACCAGGAGCGCCCCGCCAGCACAGGGGCCATTGCCAAGTCCGCGTCCTGACAGCCCGGGAGGAAGCTGGCGCCCTGTCCCCACCGCCCCTTTCCATTCTGGCTGGAGAGAGAGGCCTGGGAAGGGCCCGAGCTGTGGAATGGGCAGCAATGGCGTATTCTGCCTTCCAGCCGGAGTCCCGCATCCACTCCTCCACGGCCACCCACCTGGTCGTCAGAGCTGAGAGACGGACCGGACCCGTCAGCCTTTGAGAGAGCAGTGTGGGGTGCACTGGCTGCGATCCCCAGGATGGTCCCTCCAGAGCTGCACACATCGATTCCTGTGTGGGAAGTGCCGGCTCACGCCACGCCTGATGGCTTTGCTGATGACTCTCTGGGGAGAGGACATGCCAGCTGACCTTCAGCCCAGGACGGGTGACAGGAAGCCCACTGTGGGAGTCACCTGAGACAGCCAGGAAGCGTTTCTCTCCTCTGTGAAGAACACCCTGCAGGTGCCACCTTCTTCCTCGGCACCCTGTGTCTGGGCCCCTTCCCGCCTCTCCTGAGGGCTGGTGCCCTGGGTGTGAGGTGCCATTGACCACCGAGGCCACGCCCCTTCTGTCTCGGGTCTCCAGCCCCAGAGCTCCCCTATATGAACTCCAGGTTCTGGACCCGCCGGTCAGTGCCCTGAGCTTCTCTCCTACCCCTGAGGTGCCTGGAAGGCAACATTTGTGCCTCAGGGAAGACGTCAGATTTGGGGACTCAGGGGTCAGTTTGGCTATTTTACTTACCACTGGGGTGACCTTCACAGGCTCTTAAGCTCCGGGGCCCCAGGTGTTTTCCTCTGTAAATGGAAGGTCATCAGAACCTGCTCACAGAGCCACGGAACAGAGCAGGTGACACGGCACACGCACAAGCCCTTTGGAAACGATCAGCTCCACTCTGCGTAGGGTCACTGTCATCATTGTGCCTCGTCGTGCGCTGAGGACCGTTCATGAGCTCAGCCACCAGCAGTTCCTCTTTCTATCACGCTGTTGAGTGCCCCCCACCTGGGAAACAAGACCATGGAGGGCCAATGACTTGTCATCACCAGCATCTCCCACATCGTCACCAGGAGCAGCAGCAGTGTTACCGTTGCCATCATCGTCACCATCACCATTGTCATCGTCACCATCACCATTGTCATCGTCACCATCACCGCACGCCATGTCTTGAACATTTACCAAACTATGTCCTTGGCATTGATTTTCACAACAGCCTTTCAGGTTGTGTCTGACTGTCACCCCTCTGTCACAGTTGGGGAAACCACGGGTAGTCCAAGGTCGATCCACTTGCTTAAGATCCTACGGAAGTAAACTTGTGTGCTGGTTTTGTCACATGCCCTAAAACTGGAACGATACAGAGATTAGCACGGCCCCGCCACGAGGATGATGTGCAGATTCTTGAAACGCTCCTGATTTTTTGTTTTGGAGAAGAAGAATGTAGAATAGAGGTCGCCAGGGTCCAGGAGGAAGGGTGAGGGGACATGGGGACAGTTAGATAACAGGCCCCGGGGTACAGTGGAGGGGAGGAAGGCCACCTCCGTTCCAGAGCCCAGCAGGGGAACGGTAGCCTATGATTTATGATATATTTCAAAATAACTAGGAGAGTCCAAAGTTCCCAACACAGACAAATGATCAATGTTCGAGGAGATGGAGAGACCAATTACCCTGCTTTGGTCATTACGCATCGTCTACATGCATCCAATTATCCTGCCGTATCCTATAAATATGTACAAATGGTGTGTGCTCATTAAATTTTTTTTTTAATTTAAGGAAGTAAACTTGGCTTGTTGGAAAATTAGAAAACATGCTTGCTGCCTCTTCTTTCTTATCAACCTGAGAACTAACGACTCTTACGGGGCTCTGGGCCATTTGGGATGCCAACAGTATTATCAAGCTGTATTTTAAACGCCCGTGGCAGTTTTTTTTTTTTGGAGGGGGGTACCTCTTGGCATTGGAATAGTGCCAACGGTAGGGTGGGCACCTGGGGCTGCCAACATCCTGAATGTCCACTGCTGGGGCCGAGGGGCGGCCAGGCCCTGTCTTCCACCAGCGAAGCAGGCGCCAATTAGGGCGCTACTTGGAAAGTTGCTCTCATTAGCTGGAAGCCGTCCAGATTGCTCTCTTTGTTCCGAGGCTTTAGAAGAGGAAGCCCCCTCCCCAGCTCTCTCCCACCCCGTCCCCAATTGCCAAACCTCAAGGACCACAAATACAGCTAATTAGGTCCGCTTGGCTGGGCCTGGCTCTCTGGATAACACCTTTCATGAGAACTGACCTTCCAGGGCCTGCAGGGGTGAGGGTTGGTCACCCTGGTGACCCACGACAGTGGGAAGGTGTGGGTGACATCTCCACTGGCCCCCAAGCCTGTGCCCTCTTTCCTCCAGGCTTGAAGCCCTCCAGGGACACCAGCAGTGTGACAGGAATCTGGGGTCAGTTCATTGGCGGCCTCAGCCTTAGTGACATCTTAAAGGAACCTGGTGGATGGTCTCCAGGGTGAGGTACTGTGTTCTATTTGTTATCCCCATCTCTTGCCCTCTACACAGGCATGCACGCACACTCACACATGTACCCGTCCGTACACACACATGCTCACGCATGCACACGCGCACACACACACGCACAGCTGGGAGCTCTTAGGCCGTGCATACAGAATTGAACTTGGACCATTCCTGCCCCATGGCATGGGCCACAGGCAGGAGGAGGCTGGGTGATCTGCACTGAGGACAGTGGCTGCTAAGTTCACTAACCCAAGGTTTAAGCTGAACTCTGAGCTCGGAGCTCAGGTGGAATGGGAATGGGGCACTGTGAATCCAAGGGGGGCCTCACTTGCTAAGTTCTCGACAAACTTGGGGAGGCGCGTGGCCTTTTCAGAGGGGAAAGCACTGCCCAACACATCCAGAGATGGGGGATGGCATTCCTAGGGCCCCGATCCTACTCCCTCTGAGCAGAGGAGCCTCATGTTCATCAAGCCTGCCCACGACTTGGTCACAAGACGAATGCAGCCCCAGTCCCCCCGTGTGAGCGGCTGCCCCAAGAAAGGGCAGAGATGACTTCCCTGCAAAGCAGCCTTGACCACTCCTGACATGGCCCAGCTAACGGGAGGGTGAACCCTCTTCTGTCTTCAGTTTTCCAAACTCTTCCTTATTTTTAATGTGACCAAGGCCACAAGGAGAGACTGATGGCAAACATTCTACTTTTTTCCAGGAATTTCAACACCAATCTCCCACGTCACCTGCCTTCACGTTGCTTATCAGGCTATTGGGGGGGGCAGCTGTCATGGAGATGGTCATCTCTGCACCCTAAGATACGTCCTCATCCACACAGACAGTCATGCTAACAAGACTGAGGCAGAGATTTGGAATTGTGGCCAGGACTCCTTCAAACCAAGGTATGTGGCATCCTGGAGTGCCCCTGATGATCTACTTAGGACCAGAAGGCAGATTGGCTGCAACAGAGAAAAGTATTTCTTTTTCATTTCTGGCCCAGAAAATTTGGCCAGTGTCCCAGCGGCTACACTTTGTAGAAGTCACTTCAGACACAGTGTTCCTCCCAGGGCTGCTGGTGAAATCCATCTGCAGAAGAAAGAATGGCTGAGAAGTTGGTCGGCCACATTGGCTCTCCTCCCTCCATCCAGAGAGATGTGGTCGTGGTCGGGAAGCTACTAGAAACCCCTTCCTAGCTAGGTGCAGAGAAGCCTCTCTGGTTATACAAACCGGGCTGAGTCAGGCTGATGGCAGAAGGTCCCGGCCAGGCCCGGCCCAAACCTGGGCCCTCTCCTGTATATTAGTGCTGAGACTTGCAGCCTGGTGGCCAGGGGGGACAGGCCCCTCCTCACAGCAGCAGATGTGCACGGAGTCTGCTCACATGCCGGGCCCTGTGGGAAGTTCTTCAGATGACCTATCTCACTTAACCTCACAACAATCTCGGGAGGAGGGCTAAGGTCACCTCCAAGTATGCCCAAGGTCCATCTCTGAGGCTCAGGGACAGAGATAACTTGTCTGAAGTCCCAAAGCTGGTGAGTCGGGAAGCCGAGATTGGAATCCCAGGTGTCCCCCCTCCTGAGCCCCTGCTGTGCTGTCTTTCTGGGGTTAAGTATTTAAGGCTGGAGGCCCACATCGGCCTCTTCTTGTTGACATTTAACTTCTGATCTGTTTTCTGTCTGGGTTTTAGGGCAAGGATCAAAGCCTGGCTCAACTCCAGGTAACGGCAGGGGACAAGCCCCCCTGGGCTGGGTCAGCTGGTCTGACTGTGGCATCCCTGGCGGGAGGTCTGACCTCCCCCCCTCCCTCCCCTCCTGTTTTAGTGACAAGGAAACACATGCTGTTTTCCTTCTGGGCAGCAGTAAAAAGTAGTGTCAAGGAACCCTGCAGGGAGACTGCTCACACAGGACTGGTGGCTTTCAGCAGGAGAGCTGGGGGGACATTGGTGTGGCTGGGCCACAGGTTTATCAGATCTCAAGGGACACTCATGGAGGCCAGGACAGCACCTCAGGGTGCTGCAGGAGCAGCAGGTCCAGTTTCCAGTAACGTGGTCCGATGGACATGCAAGGACAGTTCCTGTGGGAATCAGGCCTCCCCCAGTCTACTGTTCCCAACATGGAGATGGAGAGACCGGCCCCGGGGGGATATTTGGAGATCTCCCTGGCAAACCTAAAGCCGTGCGGTAAACCGAGCTCACCTCGCGGCCGTCTGTCTGTGGTCACTACTCTGCCTGATGGGATTCTTTGGTTTTCATCTGTGAACTTAAGTAGCTCACTGCGGTGGTAAGAATGTGTCTGAATTCTGTTTCTGGCCATAATGGAGAAATGGGGACCAGATTTGTCCTCCCACCTTAAATAAGAGTCAGACCGAGTGTCGGAAGCAGTGGTTTTCAGACATTGGAGATGGGCAGCTCGGGCCACTGCCTGGGAGGAGGGAAGCAAGTGAGGAGAGGCTCAGACACAAAACAAAAAAACCACACTGCATGAAATGAAAAGTGCATTAGATGCCCAAGGAAAGAACCATCAGTGGATCTGAAAATAGAGTGATAGAAACTATTAGAACAAAGTGCACAGAGACAAAGGCAAGGGAAAAATTAAACAGCATTAGTGACAGACGGACAATATCAAGCGTCTGACATACGTGTAACTGGAGACTCCGGAGGAGGGACAGGAGATGGTGAGAGACTGAAGAACTAGGAACTAAAACACATTCAAATTTGATGAGAACCACAAACCCACAGATCCAAGAAGTTCAATAAACCTCCCAGGAAGAATAAAACAAAAGAACCCAAGCCCTGCCTCATGGTGATACCGTCACTCAAGAGCATGATCAAGAGAACACGTCAGAACAGTCGGAGAAGAGGACACATCGTGACCAAAGAAGGAAGATGAGAGGAAAAGCCGAGTTTTCACAAGACAATGAAGTGACACCTTTAGAGGCTGAATTCTTAAAAAAATCAGTCAATTTATAATTCCTGAATATTTTTCAAGGCATTAAGGCAAAATAAGATCTTTTTCAGATGCATTAAAGCTGAGGGAATTAATCACCCTGAGACTTGAACCAGAGACCAGTTCTTTGGCATCAGGAAGATAAAATCAGACACGTATAGAGATAGACACCAAGTAATAAAAAGTGCCAGGAATGGTAAATCTGTGGATATGTATAGAAATCTATTTCCATAATTCTAAAATATATTTGGCTGTTTAAAGGAAATAACAATAATGATTTGAAACATCTACAGAAGTAAAATTATGAGCATTCTAATGCAGAAAGTGGGAGAGAGGAATAAAAGAGTGTTTATGGTTTGAACTTAATATATGAAGTGGAATAGCATTTCTTGATGGTAACAAATTAAAGACATGTATCATAAACTCTAGAGCAACCACAAAAAGAAAGAAACAAAGAACCCCCACACCCAGATATATAGCTAGCAAGTCAATAATGGGGTAAAAGAAAACCATAAAAAGGGATTAATGCAAAAAAGAGGAAGAAGGAGAAGATATAAGGAAAAATACCAGATGAAATCAGTGGAAAATAAATAACAAGATGATATATTTAAAGCCAGCCACATTGATAATTATATTAAATGCAAATGGCCTAAAGATGCAAATTAAAAGTCAGTTATTGGGGCTGGTTTGCTGGCATTTGCTTGTAATCCCGTGACTCTGGAGGCTGAGGCAGGAGGATCCCGAGTTCAAAGCCAGCCTCAGCAAAAGCAAAGCGCTAAGCAACTCAGTGAGACCCTGTCTCTAAATAAAATGCAAAATAGGGCTGGGGGAGTGGCTCAGTGGTCGAGTGTCCCTCAGTTCAATCCCTGGTACCCCCAAAGAAGAAAAGTCAGATGTTGTTATCTTGAATAAAAAAAGAGCACAAGACCCAATTAAATGTTGTCTGCAAGAAACTTAGTTTAAATATAAATGCATGCATTAAAAAGTAGAAGCACGAGGGCCTGGGGATGTGGCTCAAGCGGTAGCGCGCTCGCCTGGCATGCGTGTGGCCCAGGTTCGATCCTCAGCACCACATACAAACAAAGATGTTGTGTCCGCCGAAAACTAAAAAATAAATATTAAAAAAATTCTCTCTCACTCTCTCTTTTAAAAAAAAAAAAGTAGAAGCACGAACTCTCTTTGCTTTTCTGGCTGACAGGAGCTGAGCAGCCCTCCTCTCCACACCCCACACCACGCTGTTCTGCCTCACTTCAGGCCCAAAGAAATGGAGACGGCTGACCATGGGCTGAGGCCTCTGAAACTGTGAGTCAAAAATAAACTTTTTCTTCTGCAAGTTGTTCTCATCAGGCACTTGGGGCACAGCAGAAACTGGTACCAAGAAGTGGGCACATGCTGTAATTAACCTGACTACGTGATTCAGAGGCCTTTGAACTGGTTTGTGAGAGGAGTTTAGAAAAGTTTGGGGATGCAGACTGGGAAACCTTAGAATGCTGTAATAAATTGAGCCCTTTATTATGTTCTTTGGTTTGGAATCTGCTTTGACTGACATTAATATGGTCATTCCAATTTTCTTTTGATTAGTGTTGGTGTGGCATAACGTTTTTATCCTTTCACAATTTTAATTTTTTTTTCCCTCAAAGCAGCCTTTCAAATGAGTTTACGCTTTGATCCTGCAGTGGCTGGGGTCTTGCTGATTCCTGAGATGCCATCAGGCATCTTTCCCATGGTGCCTGTGCAAAGTACTTGGTTTGTCTCTAATGGTGATCATCTCTTCAGCAACCCCACCTTCCTCGACCCTGAGGCTAGGTCATAAAAGGTGTCACACCTACCTGGGGAGCCTCTGTGTCTCCTATTTAGGACGCCCCTTGAGTTCTGGGATGGCAGGAAGCCCAGTCCCATGGACAGCTAGGTGTCCTATCTGCCAGCCAATGGCCACCATCATCTTCCAGAGTTGAGAGTGAACAAGTATCCTGAGACTCCAGTCCGTGGGCTTCAAGCCGCCACCGTCGACACTGACAAGAACAGCCGAGCCGTTGCAGGAGGAAGCCGAGAGGCATGAGCAAAACAAGGGGTTACCTTTTTTCTTCTTCAATGAAAAGACGTTTATTTCTTCCCAATGTAAAAGAGGCCTAAGGCAGGCAGCTCATAATCATGGGGCCTGGGCTCCCTCTGTCTGGCTGACACCCATCACCACCCAAGACGGCTTCCTGGGTTCCAAACGCCATGCCCCATCCTAGGAGCAGATATTGGGGCGGGCAGTTAATATTGTCCGTCTGCCGTTCCAGTCTCCAAATATCGAGGTCTTCCTATCTCATGGAATTTGCTGTTTTAAATGCACGGGCTTGGTGTGGTCACAGGATTGGGGCACTGTCACACAGTTTAATGCCAGGACATTTTCAACAGCCCTGAAAGAAACCATGAGCAGTCACTCACTCCCTTTCTCCTCCATGTCCCCAACCCCTGGCAACCGCTGACCTCCTTCTGTGTCTAAGGGTGTGCCTATTCCGGACATTGGTCGGCACTGGAATCGCACGGCGTATGGCTTGGTGCCTGACTGTCCTCATTTAGCCCAGTGTTCCCCAGGGTTATCCGTGCGGTACTGTGGACAGGTACTGGGTATGGTTTGGATGGGAGGTGAGTTTCCCCCCCAAAACTCCCGTGTGAAGCAATGTGAGAAGATTTGGAGGAGAAGTGATGGGGTCATGGCCTTAACATAATCAGCGAATGAATCCCTGATGGGATGAGCCCCGTGGTAACTGGAGGCAGCGGGTGTGGCTGGGGGAAGTCATTCATGGGGGACGCGGCTACGGGGCGTGTATTTTGTTTCTGGGGAGTGGAGGTCTCTCTCTGCTTCCTGATCGTCACGTGAGCTGCTTCCTTCTGCCACACTCTTCCACCATCACGTTCAGCCTCACCCGGAGCCCCAGGAAAGGAGCCGGCCTTCTATGGACCAAGACCTCTGAAACCTTGAGCCCTCAAATAAACTTCTCCCCTACAGTCGTGCTGGTCGGTCTTTTAGTCACAGCAGCCAAAGAGCTGACTAAATTAGTACTTCATTCCTCCAGGTGTCTACTCCACGTTTTGCTCACACACTTGTTGTTGATGGACATCTGGTCAGTTGACCCTTTTAGGCTCTCGTGAATAACGCTGCTGGAGATATTTTGCACAGTTTTTGGGTGAATGTGTTTTCCGCTCTCTTGGTTAAATACTCCAGTGTCCACCTCTACCGTGGAATTGCCAGGTCCCACGGCAGATCTGTTCCACTTTCCGGTGAACTTCTAACTAGGTGCTGAGTGGCTACTACATTCCCACTAGCACTTTATGAGAGTTCAATTTCTCCACATCCCAAGGCTTATTTTTTTCCCTTTCTAAACCAGAGCCATCCAAGTGAATGTGCCGTGTTATCTCATGGTTTTGATTTGCATTTCCCTCGTGACTAGTGTTGACATGTCTTCACGGACTCATTCGCTATTTGCATATCTTCTTTGCAGAAATGTATGTTCAATCCATTTGCCTATTTTCCAGCTAGGTCATTATCATTATCATTATTATTATGTTTTGCTGTCGAATTATGAGTTCTTTATATTCTGGACAGTAGACTCTTATCAGTATACGATTTACAAATATTTTTTCCTTCCCGTGGATTGTCTTGAGTGTCTAAATCCGTCAGGATTCCCCAGAAAAACAGAAGCAATAGAAACAATTTTAAAAAACATAAAAGACCTGTTTTAATGAACTGTCTCACACAACTGTGGGAACTGGCAAGTCTGAATTTCATGACAGGCCAGCAGGCTAGAATCTCAGATAGAATTGATGCTATAGTCTTGAGAGAGAATTTTTGTTTTTCTCCCATAACCCTCAGATCTTGCCATCAAGGTCTTCAACTGATTGGGGGAGGCCCACCTACAATGCTGAAAATAATCCTCACTTAATATCAACTGACTATAGATGTTAATCACATCTACAAAGCACCCTCACAGTAATATCTAGACTAATGTTTTTCTTAAATAACTGGATCCTGTAGAGTACCCATGTGGACATAAAATTAAACATCACACTTTTACTTGATGCACCAGTTTTTAATTTTGATGAAGCTCTATTTATTATTTTCTTTGGTTGTTCACGGTCTAGGTGTCATATCTACAATCAGCCATTGCTTAATCCTAGTTTTGCAAAGATTCACCTCTACATTTTCTTATAAGAATTTTATAGTTTTAGCTCTTGTGCTTAATTAACTCTTTGACCCACTCTGAGTTCAGTTGTTTTATATGGTGTGAGGCAGGGATTCAAGAGCATTCTTTTGCTGGGGATGGTGTCATCTTTGCAAACCACCAAGTTATGTTTTCCATCTCCTGAAGATTTCAGTGATGTGTTCAGGCTCCATAGAGAGATTAAACCCTGGACTTAACATAGTTTGTTTCAAAATTGGACAAAAAACTTGAGCTACCAGTCTGAGCTTCTGTCTTGGGGGTCCCAGCTTGTGCCTTGAAAACTCACGAGAGGGGCTGCAACAGGTCAAATTGGGCTTCTTAGAGGAGTGTTCACACACTGGCCAGCACCAAGTGGTCGAGGTTGCTGACCTGGCAGGAGAGTCTCCAGGGACCTGCCAACCGTGGCCCAGAGGCCAAATTGACAGTTGTAGTGAACAAAGCCTTCCAGGAACATGGCTGCATCCACTCATTTTCCTGTTGTCCAGGCTTGCTTGAGTGCCAGAAGGACACAGTTAGGTCATCGTGACAGGACCACATGGCCTTCAAAGCCTAAAACATTGATCGGAAACTTTCTTGTCCTGTGGTGTCATCTGCCCAGAACGTCAACCTTTGTTTTCTTCAAAACAAGGAAAAGGGTTGAGAGCTGCCCGTGGGCTGTGTGGATGGTGTTGGGCATCGCACCCTCCTGAGGGGTACGTCTGGCACCGGGAACTCCCCGTGGCACCCACAGGGACTGACCACCTGATACGGATGCACTTCCTCCTCAAGCTCTGCCGGCGACCCCACACTGGACCTGAGATGGGTGGGACCTGCCAAGATGCCCATCACCCTGCCCACTGCAGGACACCATGAAGCAAGACTCCGCCTTTGAGCCCTTACCCCTGCCTTGGATGTTCCCCCTTAAATAAACCACCACCCCATCTTTCCTTTGTCCGGTGCCAGCGCCCGTGTGGCCTAGATCTGCCAGGGGCTCTGCTTTTTGTGAATATATTTCTGACTCTTTGAGTTTTGTTCTTCACTAATTATTTGAGACTTGAAGTTTCCAGGTGGCTTACACCCTCCTCTGCAGGAAGAAGAACCCCCCAATGAGACGCTGGCCGTCACCCCTGTTAAGAAAGTAGCTGGGCAGCAGAGGTGCCACACCCAGGTCCCCTGGATCCTTTTGATGATTAGGTCTCTGGCTCCTAGGTCCTCTGCTGCTTCTGTGAATGGCCCAAATAGTAAGTCACCTTCTTGGGAAATTTGCCTTTGCTGACTGGGACACCTTGTGCAGAGGTCCCCCCCCCACCCCCATCGCCCCCATCCCCATGATGAGCTGGGACGAGAAGAGGCATCAGAACACCCTGTGGGGTCGGGCTGCAGCTAGACCTCATCTTGACTGCATCTGATGTGGCTTCCCCCTCCTGGGGAGAGGGGTGAAGGTTATGTGCAGACCCCGTACCATGTTAGCTAAGGGAAGTGAGTATTGGTGGCTTTGGGTGTCCATGGGGAGTCCTGGAACCTATCCCCCATGATACCTGGGGGTGACTGTGAGCAGATAGATAAGGAAAGAAATATAGAAGTAGATGTCTGTGGCACTGAGAGGGCGCCGGGGCACCACTGCCCCATAGCAACGAGCACCCTTAAGATGCAGATCTGGGCTTCTAAACACCAATCTCCACTAAGAGGAACCAGGGCTCCTTGGGGAAATGGCTGATTTCAAAGCTGGGACAGAGGAAGGGCAAGATAAGCGGGAATAAAATTTTTTTCCTCTCTAGAAAATAAGGACATGCTCAAAGTCTGATGAGATAAGGTCACAGAGAACCCAGAACCCAGCTCAGAGGGGCTGCCACCGGCCAGATCTGGAATGACGTGAGCATCAAAATAAATCATACCAGAGCCGATTATAATCCACCGGGTGGAGGCAGAATCCTGAGTCCGCGTTGGTGTACACAGTCAGCACCTGGGAGAAGGGGACAGTCCCCTGCTAGAATCCCAGCCGGGCAATCAGAAGGGATGACGGGTCAGGAGACTTTGCCTGCAGAAATGCCCCTGCACCCAGGACCCTCATCAAGAGTGACGGACAGGTCCCAGGGGATCTCGGCCCAATCGGGTGACACCTCCACACCCTCGTGGGGACTCGCGTCTCATTTCTGGGAATCTCGCCCAAACCCCAGGCGCGGGGCGCTCTGTAAAGCAGCTGGAAGTCATTGGAGGTGTCAAGGTCACAGGAGTCAGAGCTCCCAAGAGGCCATCGGACCCGCAGTGACAGGGACAGCGGGCCATGCTGACGTCGGACATTGTGGAGACGTGGGGTGGGTTGTCATGGAGCAGCGTGGATGTCCTGATTTCCATGTCATGCTGGGGTTCTGCGGGAGGGTGTCCTTATTTGCAGGGAACAAATAAACTGGAGAATACGGAAGAGTTTGGGGGTGGGCTGCGCCCTGTGGCCACTGTGCCCTCCCGGAAAGACAAAGACGGAGAAAGCATCTGGGGTTAGGGGGGGTGGGGAGCTGTCTGTGGCGACTCCCCCGGGAACTGGAAACCACTTGGAAAGAAAAAGAAAATGGCCATGACCCTGTAGCTCTGCCCCTCCTCCAGGTCAGAGGGTCGGATTCCAGCTGAGAGGAGCCCCTGCAGCTGGCCAGGCCCCCCCTCCCTGCAGGGTGCTGAGGCCCCTCTGCCCACACCCTCGGGCCTGGCCTTGACCCCAGCACTTCTCACTCTGCCGGGGGGCTCTCTCCAAGGCCCATGTGCAGCAGCAGAAGGGCCAGGGGCTTCCTGCCTCCCCCCCCGCCCAGGCGCACCCCTCACAATGGCCAGGGTGCCCTGTCTGGCCCCCAGCTGGGCTGACCATGTGGCCGTGTAGAGCCCCAGAGCCCCTCACCCTCCTGCTCTCACTCCCCGCCTCCTTGGGACCTCCTTCCCCATCAACTACGTCAACCTAAATGCTTCCTGGGAACCCAACAAAGATCCTCTTTATTGTATCAAGATCCGACAGAAAGAATGAGAAATAGGTAAAAAGAAGATGAGAAAGAACAAGAAAAAAGTGGTTTTAATTCCCAAGTTCCAGGTTGGCTGCCCCCTCTCTTCTAGGCCTGAGAATCAACAAATGCGGATGGAGCCATCTGACCTGCCCTTATCCCAAATTCCTGGAATCCTGTCCTCTCCTGTGCACTGTTAATGAAGCCCCCAATAAGTAGATAAAGCAAGAAGAGCCGTGATCTCTCGAGGAAACTGTAATTTACGGACCTTCCAGTGCTTTCTACAGATCAGATGATGAAGACCACGTCGGCCGAGGACCTGAGACTGACCAGGCCACCAGAAATCGCTGGACTGGTGTCATCGTACCCAGCCTCGCCAAGGCTCCTCTCACAGAGGAGCTGGGGACCCCAGAATGGCACCTCTCACTTCAAGATGGCCTGTGCCCTCCTGTGAATGTGTCCCTCCTTCCCCAAATGAACTCTGTCTCTGCTTCGGACGGGCATGTGCTGCGGTCCAGGAACCCCTTGGTCCTGCGTGGAGTCCCCCCTTCTCCCGGGAACTCCTTGGACCTCCTCTGGAGACGCCTCCTCTCCTGTGACAGTACGTCCTGTTTCCTTGTCTCAGCCTGCCTCTGTACCCCGAATCATCCTCTTTATTAATCCCTTTGCCTATAAAGGCCCCTGGTCTTGCCGGGTGCTCAGCAGGGATTTGTGGGATGAATGAGGAGCGGAGGGTCTTCCAGGGGGTTCCCAGAGTTCTGGGGCGTGGCTTCCAGGTCCCATCCAGAGGGAGAGGAGAAGCTCATCCCGACGGCTCCTGGGCTGGACCCTCCTCTCATCACACGCTGGCCACCCTGCTGTGGTTTCACTCGGAATCCCTGGGAGCAGAATGTGCTGTCCCCAAATGTGCCAGCTCTGGGTGGCATCATTTTGAACCCAAGGCCCCTGAGAATCAACAAATGCGGACGGAGCCATCGGACCTGCCCTTATGGGATGAAAAACAGGACCTATGTTTCCCCTTGAGGAAGGGGTCCCCACCTTCCCTGTTCCCCGGGAGAGAAGAGCAACTCTTGTCACCAAGACGGGAGGGGACACTGAGCCGAGTCCACACAAACAGGCCTTCCTGACATGGCCCCGGTGGCTCAGCTTCCCTGTCACCCGTTACTCCCCGTGCTGAGCCGGTCATGCCATTAACGGACCAGACAGCCGGTGTCTTCCCGCAATGTCAGAATTCATCGAGTAACGGTCAGCGGACGAGCGTCATCACCTCCATCAACTCTCGTCACCAAGATGCCATCAGCAGCGAGCCACACCGGGTCCCTGTACTCCATTCCTGTCTCCGTTCACGAGGCCTGAACAGCTGGAGTCACGTGTCACACTTTGTGCCACTATGTACGCAGGGTTAAGGCCACGGGCCCTCAAGCCCTGGGAGCGCAGAGGCTGAGGGCAGATGGAAGTGCAGGGTCACGGCAGGTGCTCGGGGCTCAGGAGCCAGCACACGGCCTTGCTCAGGGCGCAGGGCTGCCCAGGGCTCAGGACTGGCTCGAGGCCAGGCTCTGGACAGAGGCAGTTTGGGGAGGGCCAGGTCAACAGGGCAACACAGCTGGCTTGTAGCCCAGGACCGAGTCCTGCTAGTCCCCTGTGCACTTTGTGATCCCTTATATGGGGGTCGGTGTGCGCCGTCCCTCTGTCCTGGGGGCTCTGGTGAGGGGGCTGCGTCCATTGGTGGCCTGGTGGGTCTGAGAAGCCCTGGGGCCTGGTGACAGGGGTTTGATAGGCTCACGCATCTGCGTGCCTCTGACTTAATTCAACAAATCCATAGGTGGCCACTCTTTATTGGCTCAATTAACTTATGAACAGTTCATATCTTATGACTGTGCTGTACACAGGGGGGCGATTCTTTTCAATGAGTCCTGTATACCCAGCATCTGGTGGGTGTTTGTTTATCCAGACAAGTTACCAGCGTCCTTCCTTAGTGCTTTGCTCTCAAGATGGAGTAGCTCTGGACAAACTGCTGCTCGGTCACATGGAGTGACCCAGGGCTCAGCACAGCTGAGAACCGCTGCGTGCCCAGCGTGGAGTGACTCCGAGCAGGGCGCATCCGGCTCTCCACATTTCCTTGTGTTTTTTATCTCCTGAAGCCAGCTCTCTTTCCTTTATTCAAAGGCACACAAGGCCGCAGCCCAACTCCCTCTTGAGTTTCGCTTCTTTTCTGTGAACTCCTGGGCGTGGAAATGTTAGCAGACGGTGTATCTCTTCTCTTGCCAATCTATCTTTTGTTCCTTTAATTTGCAGGCTCTCAAGCACTGAACCTAAGAGGGTAGAAGAAAGTTTTTCTGCCCCAACAGAATAGAAGCATGTAAACATATTCAAAGGTTAAAATCACAAGCTTGTTCTCCCAGCACATGGGAGAAAAGGAGACATTTGGAACTGAGAGGAGTCTGACCCCAAGTCACCTGGCTAGTTGGTAGCAAAGCCCAGATGGCAGGCGGATGCTGTTCTCGACCCGTGAATACTGTGGCGGCTGAATTGATGCCTCCCGGTCCCCTTTAGCAGCTGAGCTCAGAGTCTGTCTCTTCATTTACCCAGATTTGGGGGGAGGCCAGAGTGAATCCAGCTCCCATTTAGGGATATAAACCTACTCATTAACTCCTCACAACGGCCCCGTGAGATAACTGTAATCCCATTTCAGGGATGCTGGAACGAAGGCCTAGTGAGAATTACCCAGAATTACTTGGAAATCGGAATATAGGGGATTGCTTTCCGTAAATTGCTGCATTACTCCTTTCATGAACATGTGGTGATTTGTTGAGAGCCACAGCCGAAGGGGCCCCAGCAAACTTCCAGCTGCCAGCAAACTTCCAGCTGCCGGCTGATGATTGGCTCACAGCGGCCCCAGCAACATCTAGCTGATTGGCTCCTCTGCGGTGATGCTCATTGGGCTGTTTCCCTGCCCTTTCAGACCACGGAGCTGCTCATTGGGGGACTTTTTTGGCTCCGCCCACATGACCCAGCCAATCGGCCTCAAGAGCAGGAGGATTATGGGAGGTGGGGAGAAGCTTGTGTGGGAGAGAGAGGCTTGTGGAGAGCCGGTGGTGGCAGTTGAGGCTCTGAGGGTTTTTCCTGAGAGGCTGTTTTGTTTGGCGTGTGTGGTTCTAAAAATAAAGTTAGTTTCTTTTGACAAGTGGCTCCTGATTGTGCCCAGCCAGACTGCGGCAGTGATTCAAACTACCCATCGGCAAAGTGTGGCCCGGCGCCTGTCCTGCCGATCCCCCTCCATGGTGGAAACGAGGCTGATGGCACTGAGCTCCTTCACTGTGTGCCAATGGCCCTACTTGTGCAGAGCAGTGCGCTAT